GTGCAGTTCCCTCTCAGATTTTTAGAAACTTTAAACAGAGTTCACGACTAACAATGGAAAGTTTTGCACACCTGCCTTTTTTATGTATTTCTTGATTTATTTTTCAGATGGGTGTTGTTAACCGAAAGTTTTTGATCGTCATCTCCAATATTAAATTGCTTTTCTTCTTGCATTCAAGTAAATCATTTTCAATGATTTTCATATATTTTTCAATTGAATTATTTTATTGATTAATTTAACGATACATAAACAAACATTAAATGAAATTGAATTCAACAATTTACACCCAAAAAAAAAACCTGTAATGCTACAAAAAAATTGAACTGATTTATTCGACACATCTTTTTATACCTCTATGATTTATATTTGTTATAAATGAATGTAATGATTGCCTCATTAACGAGACAGATAACTGGTTTTGTTTTTGAGTGCTATGATCATATTTCAATCATTTTTCCCATCAGCTAAAATTATGATAGAAAAGGAGGCATGCAAATAACTGTAGCACAAAAATTATTATTATTAATAATAAGTAACAGTAATTAGTAATAATAATAGTGACAATAATAATCGATAATAACAATTAATTTATTAATAATAATGATAATAATAATAACTATGTTATTAATAATAAGTAGCAATAGTTAGCAATAATGAATAATTAGTAATAATAATAGTAATAATAGTAGTGACAATAATAATCAATAATAACAATTAATTTATTAATAATAATGATAATAATATTAAGTAATAATAATAACTGCATTAACAATAGTAATAATAATAGTGACAATAATAATCAATAGTAACAATTAATTAATTAATAGTAATGATAATAAGTAATAATAATTAATAATGATAATATTTAGAAAAATGACAGTGTTGCCGTTAAATTATTTTTTTTCAGAATTATTTATTTCAGACTTGTTAAATTTCAATAAATTAACTACCTGATTAATTGCTATGGCATAATGAGTATTCCTATATTAATTTCAGATTAATTAAAAATTTTCTAATACCTCTCCTTGGCTGTATTTTATTAAAATGTTAAAACAAAAAATTTTGGGCCAAAAAGCTGAAAGTTATAAGTGGCCAAAAATTGGCCATACTGAAAAATGTGTGAATGAATTTTCAATTATGCTCACAATGAATGCTTTCAATCTGTTAGAATAAATTATTAATGTAATTGTTGAAATTGAATTTAATTATATTTCATCCATTGTTTTTACTCTGTTTTGAATTTGTAAATGAACTGAAATTTAAGTAATTTTCATTCGAATTGAAAAAGAGCAGGAAGAAGAGACGAATGTAAAAGTGAAGAAAGATGATTAATTAGCAAAGTGGAATAATTTAAATTTATACTATTAAAATAACAAAAAGAAATGAGTTAATTGTTAAAGAGTTCTTTTAGATGATTTGCATCGGAAATATCTAATCCAATTTTTAAATTCATTTTTGTAATTAATTAAAATTTTCTTATTGATGATATTATTATATTATATAAATTTATATCATTAATTTATATTATTAAAATTATAATGTTAGAAAAACAAAAGAAAAAAATAAATAGTTGAAGAGTTCTTTTGATGATTTGCATCGGAAATACCCAACGCAATTTTTAAATTTAATTTTTTAAATAATTAAGACTTATGTAGTGATGACATAAATTTTTTGCGTTGTCTTTGTTTAAAATTATATTTTCCCTAAGGTATGTTTCAGGTGAAGGATTTTGCTAAATGGAATAATATTTTTTAATTTCAAATATTTCTTAAATTATATGTCAAGTATTAAAAATTGGTATTCCATATATTTATCTTATAAAAATTGAAATTAAAATTTTCAAAAGAAATATTTGTCATATGTTTGGCATGAAAAAAATAATTAAAGATATCAAAGATAATTAAAGATATCAAATATTAGAAGTCGATACTGAAAAAGAATAATTATATTTGGTTTTAAATACTGCACAAAAATGTCATATATTTGCATAAGTATTAAATGTTGCCCAATTTAATGATCTCATTAATTAATAGCTTATTAATGTTGCCCAAATTAATAGCTTGTTAAAAATAGCTTAGCTTATTAATTAATTTCATCTTCAATAATTTTTACTAATTTGTACTGCAATACTGTAAATAATACCATTCTCAAAAATATTAATTGTTTTTGTCGTATGATCATATTGCACAGTTGATGGTATACCATATCGTTTCCAACTACCTATTTGTGGAATGTTATCGAAAAACTTATCGGTACCAAAATCATAAATAATATTCAAAATGTTTGATGTAACATTTTGAGTAATGGTATACAAATGATTGCAAGCAATAAATGCATTCACAATAGTTTTTGTATCCAGAAATTGTAAAATCCAGGATTTACGTTCCACAAGTGTCGTACAATCACGTAACGAAGCTTTTATGGTACCATCCGAAATGGAATGATACAGAATCCATAATTGGCTACCGTCATTTTCCAAATCCACGTACGAATGAGAAAATTTGTAAATTGGAATCTGAAATTTTGAAAATTTTTTATAGTCACTGCAAATTATTACCAAATTTTAGTGTTGAAAATTTATTTTGAAATTAATTTTAATATTTCAATTATTTTTGTTGTACTTTCGCTTGAATTGATTTTGGCAAAATTTCAAGAATTAAATTAAATTTTTTAAAAAGTACTAAATTTATTTAGAAAACAAATATTCATATAACACGCATACATCCGCAAATTCTTTATTACCTTTCACTCTATCGTCTTAAATTTACATTTCATTGAAAAGAGGCAAAAATATAAATGAGCCGAAATGTTTCGTTCAATTTTTGTTCACTTTGAAAAAGAAGCGATAATGCGAAACCTCCTGGTGGGTTAATTGAAATGAACGAATTGTCAAAATGGATCCGAAAATAGTCCTGCCTGATTTTCTACGTGTTCGTTCAGTAATAAGAAATAATTTCCAAAATTTGGATTTAAAAAAATGCACTTGTTAATATGTATTAGATTTCTTGGATGATTTCAGAAATTAATTTCTGGAAAATTGAAAATAGATTTGTTATAAAATTTTCCCCTCTTTCCTTTTCACAAGAAAGCATCGTCGATTTGCACTAATTCAAGAATCACATAATCATTTTAAAATACTCAGAATGGACATAAGGCATAGTGCCACTACACCATATGGTCAGTGGTCAGTTCCGAATTTCATATGATATGACAATGACATGCTAAAATAGAGTGACTGTGAATTTTATCGATTATGACAGTTGTGAAAGCCGATTGTTATTCTTGGACGAATATGAGTAAATTTGCACAAAGTCAAAGATGTGCCGTCCGTTTCAGGATCCGTCAGCATCACTCTTTGTACCGTAGTATTGTCTTTATATTTGAGCATAGAATATACGAATGAATTTTAGGCCAATCATCTAATAGCAATAATTAATACACTAAGGAACACAAGGTCATGTGATCAGAATCAGGAATCGGAAACCGGATGCGTATGTGCAATTGTGCTATCCGGATTTGCTAATAAACAATATTATGCGTGAAATCCTTCCTACGAAATGATAATTTTTGCACTAAGCGACTGCATAATATCAGTGATTCCCGTTGTAGCCAAAATTTGTTTTTTGTTTTATTTAGAAAAGAAAAAAAGATATTTCGAAATCTTGAAATTGTTTTTGAAAATAATTTTACAGACGGATCATCATTTCGTATTCACAGAAATAAGAGGAAAATTGTTGTATGTATTTGTAATGTATGATACTGATTTGTAAAGTTTTCATGCTAATGCATTTGAAATAATTTTTTTGATCGATTAATCGATTTTTCAACATTTAAAAATTGCAAACAAACTTTTGAAACATCAATTGCTGCACTTTTCGAACGTTTTTCATCAATCTGATACGAATAAATACTCGATGTCGATGATGCATAATAAATAAAATTATTTCCATTACATGCGGTATTATCGGTACCATCAAATTGCGCAATATCCAATGAATGTATTGCAGAAGGATGCGAAGATCGTAGATCATTTAGATTGTAGTATTCAAAAACATTGTATCCCAACGAATATTCAGTCTATTCTTGTCATTTTATAATTAATTATAATTAATATAAAAACAGAACAGAAAAACAACTGAAATATTAAAGAGGTAGAAAAGAGACTTTTGACTTTTGTAAGAATTGTGTACATTTTAATAGTAATACGATAACGAGCATCTAATAGTTTCTCTGAGATATAAATATATTAATTATACATATTACTTATACATACTAATTGTACATACTAATTTCATCAGAACTCTCATTCTCAAATGAATAAAGTAACTTTCAATTCAAATTTACTCATCATTTTATCTGGAGGATTTTCCAAAAGTCTAATTTACTATTATATTAAATAGTAATTGAAGAATTTCAAGTGATTTATGGAAGTAGTGAAAAAATTTCTTTAATCCCATTAAAACATTACATCTCACAATGCATTGTTAGATATTCTAATTTTAGATTTTTCTAATAATTCTAGTTTTTTTTGATTTTCAAATTGACCCGAAAATTCACCTATTATCATAATTAAATTATTTTTTCAAATACTGCTGTAGTATTTCTACATGTGGCGATATAGAATTTCTGCCTCAAATTTATAATTGAAGTGTTTGTTTCAATTCTATAACAAGATTATAAATGAATTATATTTTATTAGCCAAAAATGCTTTACAGTAATAATTAATAGGCCTTTATAAAAATATTGGTTTAGCTGTAACGTAAACTGATTATGTAAAAATGATGAAAACGATGTAGTAAGAGATGAAATTTCAAAACAGTTTTAACCTGAAACCAATGTGTGCCATGTCGAACAATACCGCCAATTTTATTCAAACGATGAGCCAAAATATGTGGTCGAGAAATTGAACTAATTAATCCACAACCTGAAAAATAAAGAATACCGTTCCTATTTTTTTACAAATATAGAAATAGCTACTTTATATTAGCCATAAATAATTAATATGAGCTAAAATGATGAACGGAATAGATTGAGTCGGAAACTATTATTATGCATCATTTACGATATGATGTTAGATGTTGAGATGATTTATAAAAATACATGCATGACAATTGTGATAGAGATTGAGAGTACGAAGAAAAGAAAAGGAATTGAAGAAATTAAATACTTGAAATGAAATATTTGCAAAGTAAAAAATTTAAAATATAAATTAATGGAAATCTTTTAAGCTTTTAATTATCTGTTCGAATTATTTAACACATTACCTCGTTTATTCAATCTTCTCGGTCTGTTGTTATAAGTTGTGATATTTTTTACATGTTTCCATTTATGCTTCATACGTCGTTTATTATGTTCTTCACAAATAGCTTTTAACGATTTATACTAAAATTTCAATCATTATTCATCAGAATTATACTGGGAAAAGGACTACGGTAGAAATGTTGTAACATCATTAATATCTGATCCAAGCATGCTATTTCAAGTGATATATATATATATATATATGTATTGCTAGAAAACTAAACATATATATATATATATGAATTGGAAAAAATATATTTTTTAATATATTTAATTATATTTAATTATATTACATTTTAATTATATATTTAATTATTTAACTATATTATATATGAAAAAATATATATGAATTGCTGAAAAATAAAAATTTTTTTTAACTGACTTAGTTTCATACGTTAGTCAATTCGCAAATATTTAAATCTGTTTTGAAAAAGAAAATATAAACAAATGAAAATAAACAAATAAAAATAAATAAACAAAATAAATAAAAAATAAACAAAAAAATTCATATATGAAAAGAAACAAAAATTTTCGCCTTAAATTATAAAATTTACCGAAATTTGAGCATAAATTGGAAGATACAGTGTTGATGATAAATCTGCATATTTCCATTCATTACTATTTTCAATATCATGTATTTCTCGGCGATATCGCGAATGATTCGACATTATTCCACATGTATCATTTTGATTATTGATCAATTTTGTTGGCTAAAAATTTTAGAAATTTTAAAATAATTCTTTTAATTTTTTTATTTTGCAAAAAATTCTCTTGTTTTTATAAAATTCTATTTTTACATATTTTTCATTTATCTTCATTAAACATTTGAAATTGGAAAAAATATCTTACTTGTTGTTGTAATAAAATTCCAATAATTATTGCTTCAATAAAAATAATTGTAGCAAGAAGACCAATAATAATCGAACGATTGGATAATAGTTTATTATGATAAAACATCGAGTGATAATAATTATTGAATAATTTCTAAATATTATAATTACATTATTTTAATTTCTGATATATTTTTAATTTCCAATTATTGAAAAAATTTTGCCACGATTTCTTTCTTATACTTTATTTATTATTTCTCTCTTTTCAATATGGTTTTTCTTATTGCTACAGAATTTATAATATAAAATTATATCATAACAAAAAAAAAAAAAAGGAATAGTTGAAATTGATAGAAATTTTGAAATTGATTATTTGAATGTTATTGGAATGAATGAGGAAAGAAAACGAAGAATATAGATATGATAGAGAAAGTAGGCAAAATAATAATTAATATCAGGCAAACAAATTTTCGATTTTTTTTAACGATCCAAATGAAAGACATTAAAAACCAAAGTGTCTCATTCTGTCACTTCACCCGCTTCCCATTATTAGTTTTACTGAAAAGGCGGTGACATTTCCTTCTTTAAGATTACGATAGAGAGGTTATCATTAATTTAGTATAACTCTCAAGCTTTCTTCCCCGCTATCCTATCCCCGCCTTTCATATATTTTTCTTCAGTAAAAGCTTTATTAGGTTAAGGGAATTAAATGATTTTACTATATGAAATAGCGAAATCATTTCATTCTATGCTATTATTATATTTGTTAAGCTCTATTATTATGATTATCATATTTATCACTCTTTCATATTTTCAAAATAATAAATTATCTTTTCAAGAATGTTTATACATATGTATATGTCTGTATATGTGTGTTCATTTATTCATTTATATTTTTTTGTTTATTATATTTAACAATTAATTAACACAAAAGCGATAATTAATTAATGATATGAAAAATAATTGCATGAAGTGATAAATTTGCATAAAATATAATCGGCGATAAATTTGCTTAAAATATAAAATTGATTTTTTGAAAGGAAAAAGAAAGAAACAAAAAGATATTATATGAAATGATAATGATAATTAAAGAGGAATAAAGAAAAAGAAATAAGAATTTCATTCACTTCAACAAATTTTGCTATCTGCCAAAATATTATGTTTTATTTCTGCTTTCTTCGTTTTAATGCTATTTCTGTACCATTTAATTTTATTACAACATAATAGCTGTTTATTTAAGTAAACAATTATCAGCGATTTAAACAAAAAAAGAATATTATCAGCGATGTAAACAAAAGAAAAATATTATCAGCGACGTAAACAAAAAAATGTTATCAGCGATGTAAACAAAAAAATGTTATCAGCGATGTAAGCAAAAAAATGTTATCAGCGATGTAAACAAAAAAAAAATGTTATCAGCGGTGTAAACAAAAAAAAATATTATCAGCGATGTAAAGAAAAGAAATATAAATCATTGCCTTCCTTCTTTTGATTTGTATAATTTATCCTCAACAAATTTATGGAACGATATTTTGAATTATAACAGAATGTTTGAATTAAAATATTACATTTACTATCGGGCAATTTGATTTAATCATTAAAAGTATTGAAGTTATAAATTTCAACTAGCTCCATATTATCAATTGTTAACAAACAACAATTTCGCAATCTCTAATTTATTGCTCTTAATTAGTTTATTGTTTTACTCTCAAAATAGTGAAATATCAAAAGGTTTATAAATTTGCCAAAATTTCACAATATCTATTTAGCTTCTCTTTCTCTTGCATCAAATTAGCATATTTATTACTATATCGATAATTTAAATTCAAATATAAAATAGAAATTGATTTGAAAACAAAAAAGAAAATTTATTTCTTTAACAATAATAACTAAACATTAATGAATTGCAAGATATGAGTGATAGTAAAAATTAAATTAAAATTTATGAAATTTTCTTATTTCCAGCAATAAAGTTTAATTGTTAAAATTAATTTTGCGCCAAAGAAAAACTCGTATTTTGGAATAATTTTTTAATGTTAACAAACATTAGAAATATTTTTATATTTCTTTAGTATAATATGAACAATTTTCCGTATCATTGTAAGTCATTGGCAAAATTTTTGTGTTGTAACTTCACGTTGTTCACGTCATATACGTTATCATATATCACTTACGCATTTTTATCTTTCTGTGATCACTTATGCATTTTAATCCTCGTGTGATGATCACTTACGCATTTTAATCCTCGTGTGATGATCATTTACGCATTTTTATCCTCTTGTGATGATCATTTACGCATTTTTATCCTCGTGTGATGATCACTTACGCATTCATTGAAGCGTTGTGAAGTATATATAAGAATGAGTAAGTGATTACACATAAGTGATTGTATGATAATTGAATTGCAAGCGAAAAAAAGGTGCAAAATGTTGTAAATTATCCTAAATATTTTTACAGGCCATTAGAACGTGTAAATTGGCTTATTTAAAATGAAGAATAAAATTTTTTTTCATTCCAAAATTTATTATAATTTTTCAAGAAATATAACATTGCAATTAATAATTGTTGAAAGAAATTCTATTGCCTGTACAAAAAAACAATAACATAAAATTGAAAGTTAACGAAACTAAAATTGAAATGTCCATTTTCTTTAAATTACGCTATTATAATAAAATTTACGTGAACGGAAAAAAGCTTTTACATTAAATTTTATGTGAATAAAAAATGGATCGATCGTTCCTGACAATAACAGCTTTGAACAATTAAATGCAATCAATTTCTCATGGATAGAAATGACAAGCGGAAAGTTAAAGGAAAAAAATAACAAAATTTATTTAAGTTCAATGCCATTTTACGTATAATCAATCTATTAGCCCACGTAAAATAAATTCGTATAATCAATCCATCAGTTTCCGTAAAATAAATTCGTATAATCAATCTATTAGTTCACGTAAAATAAATTCGTACAATCAATCTGTTAGTTTACGTAAAATAAATTCGTACAATCAGTCTATCAGTTTACGTAAAATAAATTTGTATAATCAATCTATTAGTTTACGTAAAATTACGTATAATCAATGCATTAGTTCACGCAAAATAAATGCTGTAAATAAAATTATTTCTAAATTTATAATATTTACGTATTTACTGTTACTTTCAAGTTAAATTCAGACTATGCGTTATTTTTAACGTGTATGCAACGTGTATGCATATTGTACGTTGTATAAACTGTATTATCACAAAAGATATCAATAAATATTTATCAAATTCAATAGATCAAAATGAATTCAGCAAAAACAAGAAAAATTAATTCATTAAAATAAATTAAAGCAAAAAACAAAAAAGAAAGAAAAATTTGCTCTTTTTTCTTTCTTTTTCTCTCTCTCCCTCTCTCAAAAACGAAAATGATATATATAATAAAAAGGAATGTAATTGAATTATTTTAAAATTAAAGGCACAAATTATATCATTAAAACAAAAGAGTAAAAGCATTCGAATTTGATAATTATAAAATAAAACATAAATGTATTATTGTATTTTCGACAATAATTATAATTGTGATTTAAAAATTTTTTAATTAGCAAAAATTATTCTATTCATATAAAAATATTCCGGTGTAAATGCATTTGATCTATCGTAGGCAGTAATAGTTACTGCCAAATTCGTCGTTTTCTTCAATTGCCTATTTGATCATTTCGGTAACCGAAATTGAGCGAATAAAATTGCTTCCAAAATTTAATGGTTAGAAATGAGAATAATTAGGCGGAAATGATTGCTAAACAATAGCACTTTTTCGTTTTCGCATAATTTAAAACTTTTATAATACCATAATTTAGAAGTTTTTTATAATTCCAAAATTTAAAGGTTTTTGGAATTTCAAAATTAGAACAATTAGCTTTGTTTTTGTTTTGAAATAGTTTCACTTTAACAGCAAAGGGAAAGATTAATCTGAAATTTGACTACAACATAAAACCGTAACCTAAAATATAGCACAAAGTATAAAAAGAGGAAAGTGTGAAAGAAAATATTTCAATGAAGAAAAGAAGTTATATCTTAACCAATATAATATCAAAATTAGTTTAGCTTATGTAAATGAAATGAAATGGAATTTTTTTTGGAATATAATTTTTTACAGTTTTTCAAAAAAAATTTTTCAAAGTGTTACGGTTTTAATATATCCTTGCTACTGTATAATTTACCGTATGGATTATATGGTAACAGCAGTAATACTACGGTATATCAGATATCATTGCTAAAATGATAGCGATTTATTTAGATGCTTCCTTTCAAGAATGCAATCATATTGGCAGTACTGGAAAATAACGGATAAATATTTAACGGATTGAAATGAATTTTTATGAGATATGTTTTGTTTAAAAATTAATTATAATTAAATAGTTCCAAATTCTTGTCGGAATGTTTTTGAATTTCGATATAAATATTAAAATCATTGTAATTCGTTTCACAAAAATAAAGTATAAATGCAATGATATAAATGAATGTTACATTTTAAAACAATTAAAACATAATGATAAAATTTAAATAAAAAGCAAAAATAGTATTTGAAATGAAAATATCGTTTATCGTTATTCAGAATCGGATGTTGCTTCGGTTACGTGAACATTTGGTGCTTCTATCCGTGCTTTCAGAAGATGAGTACCTTTAAATTCTTTCCCAATATTTTCTATTGTATTCTTCCATTGTTCATGTTCCGATTTATCAACTGCTGATTTACCGAGATATACCGAACCAATTAAATCATCACCAGCAATTGTCCTGAAATTGGAAGTGATTAATTTAATTAGAGGTATAAAAATTTGAATAAAATGATAAATAGATATGAATAAATTAATAGATAGGAAAATCGTTAATTCTACTAGACAGATATGTGCAAATTAAGAAAATAAAAGAAATGAGAATTGCTGTCAATAATTTTATCACTTGTTGGTCTCTTTACATGCAAATATAATTTTAATAATTGTTTCGATCTCTTTACATGCAAATATAATTTTAAGGTATGACAATGTTTAATTAATTACTTTAATTTGATACAGTGCTTAAATTATGCACGTATAATAAACTTGACGTACTAAGCGTGTTATTTAAAAAATTGAAATGAAATAGGAAATAATAAATGTAATTCTAAATGGGATAATAATTTGAATAATTGGAATAGTAATTTTATAACGATTTGTTTATTGTATTACAATGCTTAATTTATATACATATAATAAACTTGACGTACTAAACGTGAAACAAATGATAGTTATTACCAGGCTAAATTTTCATGAAAACAATAAAACTAAAAATAATTTTTTGATAAAATTGAAATTTAAAAATTTAAACAACATAATTTTATTTTCTATAAAAATAGTTAATAATATTTATAAAGAAAAAGTATCGATGAAAGAATTATGTACAAACGTTATTAACATTATCACATTTTTTGCGTAATATTGACGTGAAAGTAATAATACCTTGATAAATCATGGACGGAAATAGTGATCTTCATATCATTAAGATCTGCTGCTTTTGTTTTCACCAAAAACATAATTGCTTCTTTATACGTTGCATTACACGTACCTTTGATTACGCGACTTTGTTTTGTTTGTGTTACATTATTTTGCGTTAAACATACACGAACACATATATCTGATGAAAAAATTTTAATTTAAATTTTTTAGAGAAATTAATAATTAATTATTAAATTATAAACAAAAGAAAAACTGTGTTAATACATTTGTTGATAACAGAAAAGTATTCATTAACAAAATCTAGAATATTAATTAAATTAAATTTATCCAAAATATTAGTAGTAAATTTTAACTTAATTTTTTTGATGTAACAATAAATTAAATTTTGCTTAGAATTTTTTTCAATTAAAATAAATTTTTAATAAACTAAAATAATTTATTTTATTTTTTCAAATAAACATTATTCTACATAATAAATACTCTTTCATATTATTCGAATCCTTTATATCGAATTAAATTCTTAAATTAGAAATTAAAAATTTCACAAAATGATAGTTATAATCTTTCGAGCAAAAACCAATTCATAATTTTTGTCGAAAGCAATCTTTTTTTAATTCATCAATTTTAAGCAAAATTTATTAAATATTATGATCTAGCAAATTTGGGATCAAATATTTTCAGATTTCTTGCAAAAATTGAACTTAACAATTTTTCTCCTAAAATTATTCATTTTTTTTAAAATTTGCTTTTTTCAAAAAAAAACATAAACCTAAAATTTTTCCTTATTACTATGAATAAATTTTAGTAATAATAATATATGGAAAACTGTTGAAAAAAAATTAGCAAACTATAAGATATATACTATAATATATGGATTGTTCTGAATAACAAACTATAATACATGGAAAACTGTTTTGAATAGTTTTAGGAAAAGAACACTGTTATTATTATTTCTTTATCATTTATCATCATTTCTTAAAAATTACAAGATGAAGCCGTTCACTAACTTAAACCATAGTGATATAAAATTTTATTTCAAAATTAAAGAATGAAATTTTTTAAAAGAAAAACGAAATATCGTTTACTATGTCGTTTACAACTATGAGTTGTAATAAGATGAGTAATATGTTAAACATTTTTTATCGATCATTTCCTAAATTTGATTTTTAAAAATTCAAAAATACCTTCTGAAATATGATGATCTTTTGAAGGGGACAAAAAAATAATTTTCTTATATTTTCCTCCTTCATCCCAATTTCTTTATTTCTTCTATAACCCAAATATTTTTGTTGTTCTGATTTTCAGTTTAACTATAAAATTCACTATTTCCTCTAATCCATTTTTTTGTAAATAAATTATTTAAGGATATCCATTTTCTTCTGCTTTTAACATTGACTAATAAAATTTTAAGTGTCGAAATTTCGACGAGACAAATGTCTTCTTTTACTGATTAAGTTTTATCTCCCATGAGATTCCAACTAGAAAGTATAATGGGACAGATTCTCGGAAAACCACAAAGAAATGAGATTTTTAATTTTTTAGGAAATAGAATATCATATACTCATAGATTAACATATTTCGAATGCAATGCTAGCAACATTAAGTTTTAATTTATGAAATGAAATAACTTTAATTGACAAAATATTATGTTTGTCATTAATTTAATTAAAATGACTAACAACCATCTGAAAATAAATAAACAATAAGCAATATGTAAATGAATTTATTTATGGAAGAGTAAAGCTTCCAATTTTGAAATTTCAAATTTACGATGGCATCAAATTAATTTAATAAAAGATTTTTATACATAATTCATATCTGAAAAATGTTTCTAGATGAAGTTATACTATTCTAAAATAAAATCATAAAATAGCATTCTTAATTTTGCATATAAATTTTTAAACTTTACTTACCAGGTGGTCCGGTAATACCACCTTTCGGTAAATCTTCTACTTTGATAATATTGATCGTTAGACGACTTGCATTTTTTTCCAAACATGACGCTATGCATAATTTTCCTAATTTCTAAAAATACAACAGTATCTTTAAATTAGAAAAATAACAACAAAATTTTTGGATCCATTCTTTTTTAAATGAATGAAAAAAGAGTTCCAGAATATCTATACATCTATTATTCCCATATATACATATTTTTGCTAATTTCATATCAATTACGTTTACGATTTATTTTAATATCGTAATAGGATCGCCGATTTTCGTTATTTCTTTTTTTAAAATACCTCACTTTAGTGCTACAATTAAATAATAATAATAAAACATGGCAGTATTGATTTTTCGGCTTCGTGCGATTTTTGTTATTTTTTTAACACTTCACTTTATTGCTTCAATTAAATAATAATAAAATATGGCAATATTGATTTTATTTTTGACTACGTGCGATTTTCGTTATTTTTTTAATACTTCACTTTATTGCTTCAATTAAATAATAATAAAATATAGCAATATTGATTTTTTTCTTTTGGTTCCACTAACCATTGTTATCAGTAAGAAAATAATATCATGATAAGCTTATGGTAGAAATGTTTGTGATAGTTATAAGTTTACAACGTTTATTTTAGTATTATAATATAAAAGAAATAGAAATGCTTTTTGCAAAATTCAAAAATATTACACTTTGGCGTAATGACTTTTTTCCCACAGAAATCTTTCTAATAAAAACAGTTAGAAAAACGAAAAACCGCGGGGGTCGGGGTGAGCAAATGAGAGATCGAATGTTTCATTTACAAACATTTTAAATTCTGTTCATTATGCATTAAAAATGCAAACTATAAAAGATAATCATCGATCAATTTGTTATCAAAATAAACAATTTGTTAACAAAATTTATTTGTAAAAAAAAAAAAACATAAATATTTTGAAATTTTAAATGCTTAATTATTAAAACAAAAGAACTATCCATTATATTCATAAATTTCTTTAATATTTTGATAAAATTTTTTTGCATGAAAATAGAAATAATCAATTTGTTGAATTTTTTTACTTTTAAATGATATGCATTTTGTATTATTTTAACAAGTAGAATTCTCCATGATATGCTGAGATTTTCATATGAAGTACCACTCTTCTAGTCTTCTCTCTGTATGAAAAATATTTCAGTACCACTCTTCTCGTCCTCTTTCTATATGAAAAATATTCCAGTACCACTCTTCTCGTCCTCTTTCTATATGAAAAATATTCCAGTACCACTCTTCTCGTCCTCTTTCTATATGAGAAATATTTCAGTACCACTCTTGTCCTCTCTCTATATGAAAAATATTTCATTACCACTCTTCTCACCCTTTCTCTATATGAAAAATATTTCAGTACCACTCTTCTCGTCCTCTTTCTATATGAAAAATATTCCAGTACCACTCTTCTCGTCCTCTTTCTATATGAGAAATATTTCAGTACCACTCTTGTCCTCTCTCTATATGAAAAATATTTCATTACCACTCTTCTCACCCTTTCTCTATATGAAAAATATTTCAGTACCACTCTTCTTGTCCTCTTTCTATATGAAAATTATTTCAGTATCATTCTTGTCCTCTCTCTATATGAAAAATATTTTAGTACCAACTCTTCTCGTCCTCTTCCTTCTTCCACCCATTTTCATTTTTTGATTAAAAAAATTGTTCATTAAATATTTTTGAAATTTTCATAAAAAGCCACTTACTAACAACCTCTTATCATAATTCCTTTCTTTTTCATCCTCTTCAAACTATTATTTTTTCGCATCAAAAAATGCAATTTTGAAAATAGACAAATTTTTTTGATGTATGAAAATTTACTGATTTAAAAACAGTCATTTAAAATTTTGTAAATTAAAAAAGGTACGAATATTCTAAGTTATAAATTTTTCTAATAACAATTTTACCTATGAACAATAGAAATAATTTCTCCTTTTATTCCTAATATCAATAACATTAATTATTTTCTCAACTAAATTATTTTAGATAATTTCTATGCAACTATTAAAGAATTCCCTCAATTATAGAATTTAATTTCAGTACCATTTTTTTATACTATCATTATTTGTTTGCTAAAAAAGAAATATTTTTCAAAGTATAATAGATATAAATGTTTTATCGGTGTATATCTCTATGATATATTAATGATAAGATGATAAGAAATTAAGAAGTGTTAAGTGAGTAGTATATAAATATGAATATATCATATAAATATGCGTATAAATATGTAGAACGGAGCATAAATTGCTCATTTTTCGTTTATCTTTCAATCTTATTGTTTTAATCAAATGTTTTTCATTATTTGCAATTTATTCAATTTGTTCAAATTTTTTGTTCTTTTATATCAATTCGATAAAATATGCAACAAAAATGTTGCATATTTCCAATTTGAAATGTTGCACATTTTTTCAGCTTTTTTTTTTCCAAAAATCTTTGAAAGAAATAATTTTTTAATTATTACAATTAATTTTAGAATAAGAAATAATTTTGCCCAAATAATTTTTTAATTATTTCTTTCGAAAATTATTAAGGAAAAAAATTTTTTAAAGCTTTTTCTGTTGTAGAGGCCCCGAAAGAAATTCCTTTTAAAAAAAGTGGAAAACCGAAAAAAAAAAGGCCTTTAATTAGAAATGGATATGAGGGAAATGAATAATGACAAAAACAAAAATTTTCAATCCTTATTTCACAATGTTAATTCATATTAAATTTAGTAATTAAATTTTTTAAGTTAATTTTAAAATGAGTTATCAATAGTTTCTTCGTAACAATTTTAGGATAATTTATTATTTTAAAATTATTTCTTCCCAAATATTTTCCTAATTTAAAATTAAAATTTCGAATTTCAAAAAAAAAAACTTTTCCTCTTTGATTTCGTTCTCATTGATGCTCTCTTTCTTTTACTTTACTCAGACACAAATTTTAAATTTGCCATTTATTGCTCTTTTATTTCAAAACTAAATTAAAAAGCTATTAGTTGACAGCTATAAAAAATGAAGAAGAAAACAGATAGGAAATAAAATAAAATAAAAATTTCCGGCCAATCATATCAATTTTGCTATTCTTTAATTTCAAAATCAAATTGGTTAATTGAAGCTAAAATATCATAGCGTAAAATGAAAATTTCCATTTATATCCCTTAAAACAGATTAATATCAGCAAATAAAACAAAACAGTAAATAAAAAAAGAATGAAAAAGCGAAAAAGTCCTTATGATGCAATTAAAACGTTCATTTCAAAAAATCCATTTCAAAAAAAAATTCCATTTCAAATCCTTTCCTAAAATCCATTTCAAAAAATTATCTTCTCTTCCACTTCAATTCATTTCATATCATTCTTTCAGTTTCTTTCTTCTTTGTTAATAAACTTTTCATTATTTAACAATTCTTCTTTTCAGAAAATATGGAATGAGGAAGATGAAAAATGTACATTCATCTCTTTCATTTCAGAAAAATGAAAAACGAAGATTTTTTGAAATTCTATTAAAATTCATTATAACACTATTAAAATAAACACAATGTAATTTATATTTCAATATTAGCAAACAAAAAAAACAAAGCTAATTAATATTACCATACTTTATTATTGTTGTTTAAAAAATAAAACAAATATGTGAAAAATGTGAATTGTTTTTGAGAAATCGATCAATATTTTTAATTGCAATATTTTAAAGTTAAAATTTCAAGGAAAAAATGTAAGATGGAATTTGAAATAAAGAAAAATATCAATGTTTAACCTTTGAATTGATGCGATATTTTAATTCTTCAATAATTTTTACTTCTTTTTTCGATCGTAATTCGCTTAAATTCTTCAATGATACATACAAATCACCGATGATAACATTTTTTTGAAGTTTTTGTGGTGATTGATGATAAACTGTTATCGCTAGACAATTCTCATTCAAATCCTCTACCGATATATTGTCGAAGAAAAATTCCTGCAACTTTCAAACATATGTTATTAGCTAATTACAAAATATTTGGTATAATATGCATTCTTTTTTAAAGCATTTTGAGAATTGAAAAAAAAAATCAATATTGCCATTCTTCAACATAGTGCTTAAAAAAAGATCGAAAAAATTCAAATTTTTAGGCTTAATTTTTGATGTTGGCACACTAAAGTTTGCTTACCAATATTGCTATAAGTGAAATGATTAATTTATTAATAACAAAAAATTTTTATTTTGAAAATATCTCGTTTTCTTTGCTTACAGAAGGATAATTATCGAAAACAATAAAGAATTTTAAAAATTTCAAAATTTAGTTAAAAACCCTCATGCTATTTATTAGCTTAATTATTTATCTTTATTAGGCAATTTTTTTCAAAAAGTATCTTTCAATTTACAAATTCAAACTATATTTAAAAAACTGTCCCGTCAAAAATTGAAATTTTATCATTATCATTATCAACATTATCATTATTATTATTAAATATTCATATAACCTGATTAAATACAACATCACGTCCACGTTTTACAATTGAATTCTGTGACTTTCCGCCCGGCATCAACGATACCTTGCAAAATGCATGAATCTCTAATTCAGGCTTTAACTTACCTGCCAATCCTGAAATGCTTATTTTGATATATTATAAATAATTATGCATTTTTTATGCACATCTAATATTTTGTAAAGCTAAACTATATGCTGTTTAACCTTTGACCAAGTAAATTTATATAATACATTATCTTAATTTTCAAATACGATATTATAATCCATAACTATATTTTTTCAACTATAATTCTTTCACATATTTTACTCCATTTATTAAAGCATTTTATTTCTAACAATAACATTATCAAATTTACCGTCTTTAATTTTAAATTACAACCAATTTGGAACAACCAAAAATGCAACAATGCTTAGAGAAATGAGCGCCTCCATTTTTTTCAAAAGAAATTAAAATTAATTAATTTAAAATTTTAATTTATTCTGAAATTAAGCTGCTCAGTTTTCTGAAAACTTTAGCTACAAATATTTGCTATTCTTTTATTTATTACCTTTTTTATTCAAAAAAATAATTTCCGTAAAATATGAAAAATCCTAAAATGCTTCACTTATCATTTAAGAAATTTTATTTTAATGTTTTATTTTTAAAACATAAATTTTTCCTTTTGCTATTTGAATGCTTAATTTAGCAATGAATGCTTATAACGATGGCTTCACTTATTTTCAGAGCAATTCAAATAATTGAAGCAATTTTCTACATATATATATATACTATATGCCATAAAGTCTTATAAATAACATTAATAAACTAGCAAATTTTTTATTGAAAATTTCAACATACACTAAAAAATCAACAATGTAAATATATTATAAATATTTGGTAAGCATTTTTAAATTATATGAATTGTTATATTTTATCAAATTATGTTCAAAGAAAAGAAATGAAATTTGATTATTCAAGTTGATTAATAGTCTGATAAGATCAATTGATATGTTAATCCAAGCAAACAGCAATTTCAACAAATAGTTCACGATGTTTTCTCAAATTGAATCTATTGAGTTCAATGTTACCTTACTATTATCAGTGTTCAGTGTTATCTTACTGTTATGTTATCAATTTTTCAAATTGAGTCTATTGAGTTCAATGTTACCTCATTGTTATCAATGTTCAATGTTACCTTACTGTTATCAATATTCAATGTTATCTTACTGCTATCAATGCTATCAATTTTTCAAATTGAGTCTATTGAGTTCAATATTACCTTACTTGAATTAAACTAACTATTCAAAAATTTTACATTTCTTTCTTAATGTTTTTGAAAACTATTAAATTTAATTGAAAATTTGATTGTTGAAATGTCTTAAATAGCTTTACTTTGAATATTTCCTATGCGTATTTTCAAAATATATTTTTTCATTTAATTTCAACTTTTTTTAAAAATCCTTTTTTTTTCATTTTTTTTAATCTTTCCTTTTCTTATAATTTCTCACTTTTCAATTCTCAACGAAATTTGAAAGTGAACTAATTAGTAATTGAAATAAATTTGATTCAAAGAAAATTCAATTAAATGTGATTATGATTAGAAATGAAATAATTTCTCTAATAAAAAGTAAATTTGTTCCTGAGATTAGCTGTCACTTCAATCTTCTACAATGATGGCTTATTGTTTCATTATTTCTTCATGCTAATTTATTAAATATGAATATGATTGGAAATGAAATAATTTCTCTAATAAAAAGTAAATTTGTTCCTGAGATTAGCTGTCACTTCAATCTTCTACAATGATGGCTTATTGTTTCATTATTTCTTCATGCTAATTTATTAAATATGAATATGATTAGAAATGAAATAATTTCTCTAATGAAAAGTAAATTTGTTCCTGAGATTAGCTGTCACTTCAATTTTCTACAATGATGGCTTATTGTTTCATTATTTCTTCATGCTAATTTATTAAATATGAATATGATTAGAAATGAAATAATTTCTATAACGAAAAGTAAATTTGTTCCTTAGATTAGCTGTCACTTCAATCTTTTACAGTGATGGCTTATTGTTTCATTGTTTTGTCATGCTAATTTATTGCGTTAATTTGCTAATTTGTTAACTTATACTAATTTGTTTCCATACTGTCAATGTTCCGTTATGTTTTGTTTGATTTTCAGTATTATATATTTTCCGGTCACATAACGATAGATAAATATCTTCATGAATCTCTTGGAAAGTCAAGAAATAGTGCGTGAAAAAACGTGGAAAAACTTTGATGGAAATGAAAATAGGAATAGAATAGTCATGGCAGAATTAAATAACATAAATAGAAATGAAATATTAAATTTTGAATTTAGTATTTGTGTACCATTTAGATTGAAACAAATTGAACGTACAAGCAAAAACTCATAACATTTATAAATTACATTTTAATGATAATCAGAACATAATTACTTTTTGTCTATCAATTAAAAGAAATAATTTTAAGAGAAAATTTTTATTCATTTTCAAATATTTTGCAAAAAGATTTATAATTTAAAAAATACAAATTTATCAAAATTTAATTTTGTTAAATTAAAAAACAAATGAAATTCATTTCATAGCTAATAATAATATATCATTAATTACTCATTATATTTTCATTATACTAATTATATTACTCATTTTAAATATTTTTGCAATAAGATTTATAATTTAAAAAATACAAATTTATTAATATTTAATTTTGTTAAATTAAAAAACATATGAAATTCATTTTATAGTTAATAATGAATTTATTACGATCAAAATAAATTTGCATATAATTTGATTAGAAACAAAGAAAAAAACGAAAACAAAAGTTATCCTATTTTGATGATTTGAAATATGAAAAATTTTTTGGGAAATTATTTAATACGGTAAAATTTAAATTGAAGAGTGAAATCATCCTTCTGAGACTATCATAGTAGGAAATTTAACGATTGCTATCGAATAAATTGTAGTTTCGTAAATTTTTCTGACAACAACGATACGCTCTAAATTATATTGGCTAAATTATGCTTCTTTGTTTTTCCCATTGAAATATTCATAAAAATTATATTGGCTTAATTATGCGTTAGATTTTAAAATATTCTATGAGATGGCAAAATTGCTATCTTTTCTAATATCAAAATGATTGAAGTTTAAACGAATTACTTGAGATAAGATAATTTGTATGGAAAAATTATAATATTATATTGATTGATTTGTGTGGAAAAATGAAATTAAATAGAAATCAATAAAATAAATGAGAATTTAAATTTAAAATTTAAATTCAAAATGAAATATCATTAAATTACCAACCTTCTGCTTTTAGAAGAGAAACTCGAAGACGTTTCCTAATTGGAAAATGCTGTAATGAGCAATGTATTAAACCAAGACCTGTTGGCCTTGGTTCATTTTCAGGCCATGAACTACTTGTTCGTACCGTTGATTTCTCCGGTATCGAACTATAGGAAATACATTCACCTTGTTCATACAATAATGAATCGGTTCTATGCGTTGTCCCTTGTTCTTCAACATCGCTACTATTTATTAACTGAAATTTTACAAGTTAAATTTTAAAAGATTAAAAATTTGATATATTTCACCTCACTTATTTTAGAGGAAAGAAAATCAAAGAATTATTGAAGCATTATAATTGTTATGCATATAAATATAAATTGAGGTTAGCTTTCGTAAGTCCTAAAAAATAAAATTATTCTTTTTCAATCGTTAAAAATTTCCCAAAAAATTCTGACAGATTTTAAATATATATATGAAATTTGCTACATTTTTTAAAAGTTAATTTTTTAAATTTTAATTAAATTTTTATCCATTATTTTTTAATTATTATTTCTTTTATTTTTAATTGTTTTAAAGGAATTATGTAACTGTGAAAATTTTATTAAGTATAATATTTTAAAATAACTGATCCAAAATATATTCGTTGCATTTTCTTCTTTTTATAAAAGGAATGAAAAAGGTTTTTCTTTAGAAGTTTTGAAGATAAACAAAAATGAAAAATGAAATAGATAAAACTTTCGAAATTGCTTCATAATTTAAAAAGAGAACAAACATGGTTGAGGATAAATTAGCAATTAACATATTCCAAAATTTATTGGTCACTTAATTAGCCAAGTGAATGAATATAGTTGAGGATAAATCATCAAATAACATATTTCAAAATTTATTGGTCATTTAATTAATTAAATGAATTTTATTTCTAGTCGTAGTATCTCTTATTACTTATGTTAGTACCAGATATTTTTAATGTCAGCTTTATAGCATTGGCTAAGAGTATTGACTAGGCTAATTTATATAATGCTTAAAGCTATTTAACATTTAATACTAGCTGAGCTATAGCTATTTTAATTTTTGTGCTTTTTCTTTGCCTTTTTCAAATTGCAGCTTTATATCTTTTTTTTGCATAATATCTTCAAATAGAACTATTAATTAAGAAAAAGTAAATTATTAATATTAGAAATTATTAAAATTATAATAGTTGAAAATTTTTCAACAAGAAAGTGAATTATGATTGTTGGAAATCGTTGAAAAAAATATTTCAATGAGAAATGAATTTATCACCAATGATAATTGTTAAAAATTCAAAGCTTTGTTTTAGTGTATTTTAATAAAAAGCTAAATTATTACTTAATTAATTAAGTGATTAGTTGAATTTTTGTAATTTTTTTCCCGGACACTTATCAAATTTTGTTCAATAAAATTGTTACAGTTGTGCTAAAGAGGTGAAATAAGGAATGAAAAAATTTAATTACAACCAACAAATTAATATTAGCGAATATTTTCATATAAGAATAATTGACAATAATGTTGTTAATGTTGCTGTTATTGTTATTGCTGTTGTAATTGCTGTTGTTATTGTTATTGTTGTTGTTATTGTTACTGTTGTTGTAATTGTTATTTGCTGTTTTATTACGGAGCAAATAATACACAGTAATTTTGCGGGATATGTTTCGACCTATAAGTAAATCTCCTTTTTTTCACTATGTTTGGTCATAAAATCATAAAATACTTTAAATAATGAAAGCCCTGAGAAGTTTAATTGATTTAAATATATATAAAAGTAAAGAAAGATGAAATCCCGATAACATTCCTTAATTGAAATTACATTTTATTAGGATTTCATATTAAAAAAATATTAGTTAAAATAACAATAATCATAAAAATGATAATAATAATCATAATAACAGAAAAGAGCGATAATTATGATCATTACATCAGAAAAGAACCGTAATTGCAATCATAATTGTAATCATAATATCAGCAAAAAACGATAATTATGATTCATTTCTAACAAAAACCAATTTGTTTTTTTCCTAGAAATTGCAAAAAATTTTATGAAAATAAAATATTATTAATTACTGAGTAATTATTAATTACTAGTTTAAATAATGATTAAATCAATAGCGATTAAGTGATTATTGAAATTAAATATATTTAAAACTTAAATCATATTATAATAATTTAATTTGCTTAATGCACGATAGAGCGAATAGCAAGCACTATGCAAAAAAAGAAAAGAAAATATTGTACAGGTACCACAAACAAATTAAGCAATTAAATAAACCTATAAAACTATCAAAATTGTTTTTAAAATTTGTTAATTAATAATTATTAAATTTTTAAGTTGTTCTTTTGAGTAAGAAGGAACTATTAGTTCATATTTCTTACTTATGCATTCAATTTTATGAATTTTTCGTTTTCTTTTATTTCCTAAGATTGAAAGGATTGTTTTTGCAGAAAATATTCATTTCTCTTATACCTATTTATAATTAATGGTTTTTTTCCGGTTTTTTCATTTTCACCTACAGTAGAAAAAGCTTTAAAATGACACATTAACTCACACAGACCCACGCTGACACACATACACACACATAAACCCACGCTGACACACACACAAACCTATGCTGACACACACATAAACCCATGCACAAACCCACACAAACCTACGCTAACACACAAACCCACGCTGGCACACACATAAATCCATGCATAAGCCCACACAAACCCACGCTGACACACACACACACACACACACGCACAAACCCACGATGACACACACACAAAACCCACGCTGACACACACAAACAAATCCACGCTGGCACATACACACAAACCCATGCTGACACACACATAAACCCATGCACAAACCCACACAAACCTACGCTAACACACAAACCCACGCTGGCACACACATAAATCCATGCATAAGCCCACACAAACCCACGCTGACACACAGAAACCCGCGCTGATACACGCAAAACTCGTGCAGACATACATTGACACATACACACAAAACATTCCTTGGATCAACTGAATATGTGAAACTGAATATGTAAATTGAATATGTGGCAAAATTATCTTTTATCAATAATTCCAAATTTGATCAATAATTAGCCTATTGATTAAATCATTGAAATATGATCATCAATTTTAGAAAATGCTTCTTAAAAGCTGACAAAATAAAATTATGAAGAAGTAGCTGTAATACATTCATTTACCATTGCTAATGCATTGATGAATACATTTTGATTAGAAATTTTCTTTCTTTCAGTTTGAGAAAAAAAAATGAAATAAATTGACAGATGCATTTTTGTTTTAACGAAAATGGATAGGAAAAGAAAATGAAGTAAAATGAAAATAAAATGAAAAATAAAAGCAGAAGAAAAGAATTTCTTTAAGATTAATTATAAATTAGATGAAAATTTCCAACGTTAATAATAACAATCAGAATGCTTTATCTTTTGTTTCTTTCTTTAAGCTTAATTATAAATTAAATGAAAAATTTTCAGCAATTAAAATTAGCAATAGAAGTGAATGATCTCTTTTACTAATCTAATTTCAATTATATTACATTGATGAATTGAAAAAATTTTTAATATAAGATTAGGCTATGATAATTGGAATCAATAAAGAATTGCGGATTTAATATGACTTAGGAACTGTAAATTTAGATATTCCAGTTAAAAATTTGCAAATTTAGATGTTCGAGTTAAGAATTTGCAAATTAAGATATTCGAGTTAAGAGTTGCAAATTTAGATATTCGAGTTAGGAGTTGCAAATTAGGTATTCCAGTTAAGAATTTGCAAATTTAGATATTCGAGTTAAGAATTTGCAAATTTAGATATTCGAGTTAAGAATTTGCAAATTTAGATATTCGAGTTAAGAATTTGCAAATTTAGATATTCGAGTTAGTAAAAGAAGATAAACTTAAAAAGTGAAACAACCAATTTGCTAAAGTGAATGTTTGAAAAAGTAAGAATAAAAGGATGAAATAAAAAGCTAACTAAAAAAAGCGAAATTTTTTCTTTCGATGATAAAAATAAACGAATTAAATTGATGAATAGAAAATATTGAAAATTTGAAATAGCAAATTAAATATTCGAAAATACTGTATTATGAGAAGGATAGCAAAAAATTTTGCTTTCAATTTTTTTTTTTTTTTTTTTGATGAGTGATAAAATTGTTGAAGAATAAACAAATAAACAAACGAACCAACACAATTGATTAATTTACAATAAGTAAGGAAATTGTTTAATTGTTTCAAATTGTTTAATAATTATATGGAATAGATTTTTTTTTGTCGGATAAATAATTTTGCTTAATCCATTAAAATTTATTCAAAATTTAGGTTTTTCTTCTTTAACCTTTTTTTTTTTTTTTTATAAAATGAAATTGCTTTTTATGGATTGCAACATAAAAATTCATAATTTATATTGCGCAATATTATACATATTACTAAGGAATTTTCAAAAATAAAAAAAATTGAATTTAGAAATAAGAAATCGGCGAGAATAATCTTTAGCTTAGTTAGAAAATAAACAAAAAGAGAATAGTAATGTTGATTATTTATCCTATTTTTGAAATTCAAAAAAAATTTAGAGTCTGAAAAATAGAGCATTATGAGAAAACGACAATATCATAAAGTATTTAAATTTGCAACTTTATTCTTTCTTTCTTTCTTTCAATGTATTTGTTCTTTTTTTGACATTTAAACTGATTGGATACTTACTTTCGACATTTAAACTCATTGGATGCTTATATTGACATTTAAACTGATTGGACAATTATTTTGACATTTAAACTGATTGAACAATTATTTTGACATTTAAACTGATTGGACAATTATTTTGACATTTAAACTGATTGAATAATTATTTTGACATTTAAACTGATTGAATAGTTATTTTGGCATTTAAACTGATTGGATAATTATTTTGACATTTAAATTGATTGGACATGTAGTTGGACAAAAATTAAAATTCAAAAACGATAAATTCATAAATTTCAAAATTAAGAAAAAGAAAATAGAGGAAGACTAAAAGAAGGAAAAATACGACATTTACAATAATGTAAAAAGAAATTTGCATCATTCATTTATATTCTTTTTACTTTAGCTTAATTGCTATTAGTTAAATATATCATTCAATTAAATATATTCATTAAAGCTAATTTATAATTAGCTTGATAATATTGAATTAATAGAGTTAAGCAAAAAATTTATCAATTCATTTTAATAAATAAATAAAATTGGCTTAAATAATTTGTTTGTATAAATGCAAAATATGTCTGAAAAGAAAGTTTATGATTATTGATCTACATTGAGTGGGTGTATTTCACATGCTTAGTAATTCAATTATTCCTCATAGATTCATTATATTTTCCTCTATGAATCATTGAAAGCTTTCGAAAATTTTCTATGACATCAATCAGTTCTTCCTTCACAGACATATTTATCGATGAACTGATGAGTAAACATATACACAAAACAAAACAAAATATCAATAAAATCGACAATTACGAAGACTTTAAAAAAAATAAATTTGATTTAATTATTTTAAATATTTTCGCGATATTACTACGAAAAATATTAAATGGTTGATGAAAATGTTAATTAAAAATGTTTAATGAATTTTCTTCGCTGATATTATCAAAAATAATACCTCAAATTTAAGGGTTTATTTTGTAGTATATATTTAAAATTTTCGATAAAATACTTTTCAAAAAAAATTTCCATATTTTTTTCTGAAAAAAGAAAAAAATTTTATAGTACATATCAAAAATAATTCATCATTATATCATCTTTATTGACAATCATTCTCGCGTAAATTTTATTCACAATAATTGGAGAATCCTTCACTATTATAATATAAGCAATATTATAATAGTGAAGGATTATTGATCATCTTAAATTTTAAAATAAATTATTTTCTCATTTTAACTAAGCATATGAAAAAAAAGCAAAATGAAAAATTTTTAAATAGCAAAATAATTTTAGGCTGAAATATAAACCACCAAAATACCATCTGTTTGTAATCAAACAAATTGCAAAAAAAAGTTTGCAAAAATTTTCGATCATTTTTCTTTCCTTTCAAACTTTTTTCAAAGAAATGCAGTCATCATCATCATTTATCAGAGGAAGCAGAAATTTTGCCAATTTGATGTTATAACATTCATATATGAAATTATTGATTTTTGTAATAAAACATAAATTTTTTTCCTAAACAAAAACAACAACAACAACAACAAATCCACTCGCCCATAATTTGTAAACAAAAACTAAAAATAGAAGAAAAAGAATGAAAGAAAGATGATAAAGAGAAAAGATAACCTGATAATGATAATTTTATTTAAATTTTAAATAGCAATAACAATAATAATATGAAAGTATTTATTGTTATTAGTAATAAATCCATCTATTATAGTTGCAAAGAAGGACGAGAAAGAGAAAAGATAACTGATAATGATAATTTTAAAAGATAACTGATAATGATAATTTTATATAAATTTTAAATAGCAATAATAATAGTAATATAAAAGTATTTATTGCTATTATCAACAATTCCATCCACTACAATTGTAAATAAAAAAAAAAGAATGAAAGAAAGATGATAAAGACAAAGGATAACTTGATAATGATAATTTTATTTAAATTTTAAATATCAATAATAACAATATGAAAATATTTATTGTTATTATTATTCAACCAATAATAATAATAATAACCAATAGCTATAAACTATAAAATAAAATAATGCAAAAGAAACAAAAAACGAAATCAATTAAACTTACCCAAAGTGGTATGCAAAAGGATGCTTTAAGAGCAGACCACATTTTATCGTTTTTTGTCTTTCGTATGCTTCCGATTTCATTTTAGTTAGTTGTTGTTGTTGTTTTTATTCTTCTAGGCTAATTTTTTTCTTGTTTTATTTTATTTTATTATATTCAACCCTAATTTTTCCATTTATTTTAGATCGACAAAAATTGCCCAAAGAAAAAATAAATAAATAAATAAATAAATAAATAAATGTCATTTCATTTTTTTTGACGAAATATTATTCAATGCAAAAAATTTCATCGATGCTTATTTTAATTAAAAATTTGCTTAATATTTTTGGAAAATGATTAATAGCTGTTTTTTTTTTTTTGGTTTATTTTGCTTGTTTACTTATTCTTTTATTTACCTGAATAAATTAATGAATGATGTCATTTCATTTTTTATTTTGCTTGTTTACTTATTCTTTCATTTACCTGAATAAATTAATGAGTGATGTCATTTCATTTTTTATTTTGCTTGTTTACTTATTCTTTCATTTACCTGAATAAATTAATAAATGATGTCATTTCATTTTTAACGAAATATTTATTCAATGCAAAAATTTTGTTGGAAAAGAAAGTTGTTGATTAAAAATTTGCTTAATGCTTTGAAAAATAATTGATATCTACCTGGTTTATTTTGCTTGTTTATCTTTTCCTTTATTTACCTGAATAAATAAATAAATGAATAAAGAAAGAAATAAAATGAGTCATTTCATTTTTAACGAAATATTATTTAATGCAAAAATGTTGTTGCGAAAAAATTTGTTGACTAAAAATTTACTTATTATTTCAAAAAATGATTATTATCTATTTTTGTTGTTGTTGTTGTTGTTTATTTTGCTTATTTATTTATTCTTTTATTTATCTATTCGTTTTTCTTATTTCAAATTAACTGAATTATAATAAAATCACATAGCTAAAATTAAATTATCCATTTATAATTTATTATTTGAATAACGAAAATATAATTTGTAAATGTTTAAAAGGAATTAAATGAATTAATACGTATCCGTTTTTCATTTGATTAAAATCCCTATAATATATCCATTAATTTGAAATTTAAATAATTTCCAATTCATCAAACAAACCTTTTTCATTTCCCTTTCTTAATTTTCAATTTCTAAACAAAAGTAAAAATTTAAATCTCAAATCCATTCTTTGATAAATTTATTCAAATTCAGATGGAAAGAAAAAGTTCAAGAAGAGAAAAGAAAAAGAAAAGAAGAAGAGAATATTCATCTGGCAATAAAGGAGGAAATAGAAGAGAAAACTTTCGCTAATTTATTTTCCTCACTATCATCATACTTTCGAAATTTCAACCATTTACCATTAAAATTTTACGTTGTCTTTTCAATTTGTTAGCTTTATGAAATGTTTGAGAAAATTTCTTCATCATAATAGCATATAGCAATATAAATGATATTAATAAAAGAATTATTCAACAACTGGCAAAAAGTTTAATTCTGTCAGCTAAAAAGAAAAACCGAAAATATTTTTTAATCAATTAAAACATTATGTATTAAAAGTATGATATTATGCATAATATTAAATGTTAATTAATTAATGAAATGTCTGCGTATTTTATTTACGTATATTAGAATTTTATAAATAATTTAATGAAATGTCTGTTGTGTATTTTATTTACATAAAATGTTAACAAAATAGAATGTGACATAGCGAAAATATAAAATTACTTAATGTTTTTGGAAAAAAAAAGAATTTTAATGACGAAGTTAAGTATTATAGAGGGATACGAATCGAAAAGCATTAAATTTCTAATGGTATGAAATGGATATTAATTTTCAAATTATACTTTTAAATGGAAGAAATTTGGAATTATTATTGAAATCGATTGGTAACAAATAAAATTGTCAAAGCAATGATAGAATGAATGAAGTATGAAGTATTGTGATGGAAAAATTTTTTAAAAGAAATTGAAGAAAAAAAAGGTTTCTACTGAAATTTAATAGATGAAATCTAATTTCAATGAAATAATTTTGAATGAAAGGAATGGTGGATTTTTGTTCCATTTTTATTTATTTCGTTCTGTTCTGTGTGGGAAAAATACCTCATTTATTTAATTCTTACCTAATGTTAGATATTTTACTTAGTTATTTATATTTAGGTATACTTAATGCATTCTACACGTCAATGTTGGATATTTTACTTAGTTATTTATATTTAGGTATACTTAATGCATCTGCACGTTAATGTTAGATATTTTACTTAGTTATTTATATTTAGGTATACTTAATGCATCTGCACGTTAATGTTAGATATTTTACTTAGTTATNGATATTTTACTTAGTTATTTATATTTAGGTATACTTAATGCATCTGCACGTTAATGTTAGATATTTTACTTAGTTATTTATATTTAGGTATACTTAATGCATCTGCACGTTAATGTTAGATATTTTACTTAGTTATTTATATTTAGGTATACTTAATGCATCCGCACGTTAATGTTAGATATTTTACTTAGTTATCTATATTTAGGTATACTTAATGCATTCTACACGTCAATGTTAGATATTTTACTTAGTTATTTATATTTAGGTATACTTAATGCATCAACACGTCAGTGTTTGATATTTTACTTAGTTATTTATATTTAGGTATACTTAATGCATCTGCACGTTAATGTTAGATATTTTACTTAGTTATTTATATTTAGGTATACTTAATGCATCAACACGTCAGTGTTTGATATTTTACTTATTTATATTTAGGTATACTTAATGCATCTACGCTTCAATAGAAAGAAATAAGTTATTTCTTTTAAAAGAGAGTGGAATTTCACATTGAAAAAATATCCATCATTTCGGTTAAAATGTGAATAAAATTTGAAAAGAATAAAACTTAAGCAACCAATATGTCAATTAAGATTTATGAAATGGATCTATGATTTAAAAAAAAAATAAAGGATATGAAATTTAGAATTTTGATCAATTCAAAACTTTAAATTTAGACAACTATATCGAAATATGTATATTAACAAATAACAACAAATTATATCATATAATTTATGATATAATTTATATTAACAAATGACAACAATTTATATAATATAATTTGTTGTTATTTGTTGAGCAAGCTATGTTGCACAACGGTTTTAATAATGTAACTCCTGGCATTTTTGTTTTACATCTAAAAAACTTGTCGATGAAAAGTAAAACATCTATGATCATCAACGTAATACTCTTCAAATTAAATGTATGTCGTGTAGGAAATATAATTTGAAGAATGGTTTTTATAAAAATGAATAATTAAAATTGCAATTAGATTTCTTTTTTTTTTTGTTTTTAACTTTTCAAAGTTATAATTAACTTTAATGATGTCTGTAATTATTAGCAATATTCAATTTTTTTGCTGCTACTTTTGAAATAATTTAACTTTTGATAAATTATTTTTTCCCATCGTAATTTCAAATTTTGCAAGATGATTAAAGTTGATTAATTTAAACCTGTTCAGTGGACGGTGATAATAATGAACTTTGTGACAAAGCATTTGTACTAATTGAAGTACCACTTGAATGATATGGAGAATATTGTGGTTGATTAAATTTTCTGCCTTGTTGTTGTTGTTGAAGACGATTTTGTTGTTGATTTAGAAATGATAATCGTTGCAATGATCTTGATGGAGTACCACATGAAAAATGTTCAAATAACGTCGATATTGCACTGCTATCACTATTGGAAGCTTTTTGAAATTCAGAAAATTTCCGTTGTACAATTGTTGGTGATGGCCAATCATTATCACCAATATTACCAATTTTATCATTAGCATCAGTGTTATCACCGTCATCACCGTTAACAGTAGTTGAATATGATTGCTTTATTGATGCATTCTTTTTAGCAGTAATTAATCGAGTAGAATCTTTATGAATTGGTGTTTGTGGAAGACGTCTACCAGATTTTACTGATAGCTGTTCCAAATTCGATTTATAAAGCGAACAATCCGATGAAGTGGTAACATTTCGTGGTGATAATGATGGTGGTGTTGGTAGGAATCTTGGTGATGATGAGCGACGTATATAATTTTCTGGTGTTTGCGGTAAAAGACGATGTCGACCGGTTGAAAAAAAAGGTGTTAGAGGAACACTTGGCATACTACTTGTACTATTACTTCGACCATGTGGAAGTTCCAATGGAGGTGTTGTTGATGTTGATGCTGATATACCAGGTAATATACGTTCCATATAACCATTATCATTATCATCATCACTTAATGATATTTTGCGCATTTCTTTCTTTCTTTTTCTAGTTCAGGAATAATTTTTATATTTTCATTAAAATGAAATTAGGGAAAATTGTTGATCGAAGGGAAGAGAAAGAGATAATAAAGGAAAAAAGGGAAAAATAAATGAAATCTTCACAAGTGGTCACTATTAACTAACTGCTTACGAGTTACTTCTGTTGCCACTATTGCTTTTAAGGCATTAGAATGCTCTTTTTCCTACACAATTTTCATCTCCACCTACTTTTCCTCCACCTCCTCCTCTTCCTCTCTTTGCTCTTTTTTTCTATCTCATTATCATCAAGGATAAACTCCTTTTATGAACCAAACATCAAAACACATACTTCGTCATCTTCTAAACTAATTTTTCCCTTATCATAACATTAAAATGATTAACTAATTTGTCATGTCAATAATGTTGCCACAAAAATTTTATCATATTTTATTTTTCTCCTTTTGATAATCTTTACTGCTGTCATTATCATTTTAAGTGTTGTTGCTGTTGTTGTTGTTGTTATTGTTGTTGTTGTTGTTGTTGTTGTTGTTGCGATAATCTTCACAATTGTAAATATCATTGTTATTGTTGTTTTATATTTTATTTTTCTCCTTTTGATAATCTTTACTACTGTAATTATCATTTTTAGTGCTGTTGTTGTTGTTGCTGTGATATTCTTTACAATTGTAATTATCGTTGTAAGTGTTGTTATTGTTGTTTTATATTTTATTTTTCTCCTTTTGATAATCTTTACTACTGTAATTACCATTTTTAGTGCTGTTGTTGTTGTTGCTGTGATAGTCTTTACAACTGTAATTATCACTGTTAGTATTGTTGTTGTTGTTCTTGCATTTGTTGTTGCTCTTATTTTTGTCTTTATCATTATTATTGTTGCTATTACTTGTTTTATTTATGTAATCATTTTATAATCTTTCCGAGAATTATTTATTAAGAATGTATTAATTTTAAATCAAAAAAAATGAAATGATGATTTTGAATCATTTAATTTTATTAATTAATACAAAACATAATCAATTGTTATTTGTTTACTGTAAATATTTAAAAGATTAGTGAGAGTAATGGTTAGCTAGCAATAATATCATTTGCTCATTCAATTAAGTCAAGTGCCTCATGAGAAATAGAATTAGGAGAAGTAACGATGATAATGTGATGGATCGGCAAGTTTTTCCCCTGCTATATCTATATATAGCAACAGCCTATCATATCCAAAAATGGAAATTTTATGTATATACATATATTTGTGCTAATATTGTTAAATTAGTTTTTTTCACAGTAGTATAGCTAATATTATTTTGTAGTCTAATAATTCCGCAAAAATTCAAATAATGTAATATATTCAGAAATAATTTTTAGATCTAACCTTTCTACTAAACTTCTCGAATAAATTACCTTTGAATATTGCATTAATTGAATTTCCAGGAAATAGTAATAATTGTATATATATATAAAGAGATATCAAATAAAAATCTGAAGTTTAAAATTTTAAACTAAACGATTCAAATTATTTAATGATGAAATAAATGGATAGATTAAACGGAATGATCTGATGTATAATAAAATAAAAGGAAGTTCCGATGATCGCCGATAACATGAAATATATTGTGGAATATGTCCGCATTGTAATATTTTCAGTTGAACCGCTAAGATAGTTCAAACACATCGGAATAATCATAATCAAAAGTTAAAAGTTAAACACAACGGTTATCATTACACTTCCACTTTTTCTCTTTCTCTAATATACTCTATGAAAACATAAATACCTTTATATGGAAAGTAAAAAGCTTAAAATTGCTGAAAGAATATAGAATTTTTCCGCTTCATCATAAATCAATAAATGTTCCAACATGAGCAATCAGCATGATTCATCAACAGTATCAGTTAAATAATAAATTGTTGAAATCAAAAATAATAAATTGTTGAAATCAAAAGAAACAATAAATTGAAATAATAAATTGTTGAGCATATAAACACATATATGCAATAATAAATGTATTAACAAATCAGAATGAAATTATAATTTTTCTGTCTGATAACAATAAAATTTTTATCGGATATTTTATCAAATTTTTTTCGGATTGTTGCCAGTCTAATGAAAATTGAAAGAATAAACAAACGAAAAAAAAATGCAAAAAGCAAATAAATAAAAATTAGAATTCATTTTCAGGTAGCAATTTTTGATTGATATTATTCGATCATATCTGATTATCATTCGATCATACTTAATTATCGATCATACCTGATTATCTCTCTATCATTTGATTTAAATTAATCGTACAAATCAAATTTTCGATTTTAATTTTATTGATTTTAAGAGTTGTATGAATATTTTCGAGCAGCTATGTATTGTATTATTTGAAAGTTTTCATAAATTTATACTTCACTTGCAAATTCTCCTCCTTTATTCAATTAGCCTAAAAAAGAATTATGGACGGAAAAAGATTTTCAACAGAATTCAACAAAGAGTATTTGTATCGTCCGTGCCCGATTTATCCACCTAATACAACGAACAATTGAAGCTAATTTCTGTGTTAAACATGCAAATTACTGAAATAGTAGAAGATCGAAATGTGTTCTTTTTAAAAAAAAAGAAAATGTAAAGTGATAAAAATTAATCAGAATTTTTTCAAAACAAAGTTTATTTTGATCATTATTGGCTTAATTTTATTCTTTCTCTTTCATTCCAATGCTTATTTTTATATGAACCGGATAATTATCCGGCAAAATCAGGAATTATCAGGATATTCAATTATTAATTATGAATGAAATTGATAATGATTTCATGTTTCCTAAAAACTATATGATATAATTCAGAGTAACTTTTTCAAATCATTCAGTTTTCCTTTCTGTTCAATGCTTTTTAAATGTATCCAAAATTTTTGGCAGCAAATTTAATAATTTATTTTCAAATCATTTATTATGGAAAAGTAGCAATTTTAGGAATAAAGAAAAAGCATAAATTTTAAATTTTATTAGTTATTGTATCGCTCAAATGATTGTACTCTCATGAATTGTATTCAATTAACACTTATAGAAATTAAATATGCAAAATTTTCTCCTTCACTTTGGCTTTCATTTTCTTCCACCCACGTAATTTCGTTGTTGCTATTATTTAAATTATTTATAATATGCAAAAGAAATTTCACAAATGTATGAATGAAAATAAATTGGAAAGAATGAAACGTAGTAAAAATGAGGAAAATCAAACATTATTTCATCGATGTTTCGCATTATTTTATTTCCTTCACTTTTTTTCAACAAAATACTTCAATGAAAAAATTTGCAAAAATTCGTTGAAAATGAAAAAAAATGAAGCAAAGTGAAATAGAAAAAAATTAGGAAAAAGAGAGAGAGAGAGAGAGTTAAAAAAAATTGTTTTTGTTATTTTTTGTTGAAAGTGAAATTTTTTGAGATTTTATTACGAAGAAATGATGATGTGCTTTCTTCTTATGGAGAAACTGCTTATTAATATAATTTATTATTATTACTATCATTAATTGTTGTTATTATCACTATCATTATTATTATCACTGTTATTATTCATTTATTATTACTGCTATCACTATTAATATTATCACTATCATTATTATTGTCATTACTATTATTATCATTATTATTATTTTTATTGTTATTATCATTATTATTATCGCTATCATTATTATTAATATTATCATTATTATTATTATTATCATCATTATTATTATCACTATTATTATTATTGTTATTATCAATATTATCATTATTATTATTATCATTACTATTATTATTATTATCATTATTATTATCACTACTATTATTATTATTATTATCAATATTGTTATTATTATTGCTATTATTGTGATTGTCATTATTATTATCACTATTATCACTACTGTCACTACTATTATTTTCACCATTACCATTATCATTATTGTCATTGTTGTTGTTATCGTTGTTGTTGCTGTTTATTATTATTATTATGATCATCATTTTTGCTATCAGTGTTGTTAATATTTGTGTTAATGTAAGCATACATCGAATAATGAGGAGAAAGAAAGATAGAGAGAAAAAAGAAAAAGAGAGAAAAGGCGGAAGAAAGATAGAGAGAGAAAAAACTTTTTTTTAGTATTTGTGCAGGAATTTTCCGGAATGAAATAATCTTCAAGATATGATCCTCTCTCTGATGCTTCCTTTACTCGTAGATGTTATCGTTGGTGATTACATAAATATATATATATATATGTGTGTGTGTGTATATATGTAAGCATAGAAATAGAGACAGATGCAAAGACAGACATATATGAATAAAATGAAAATGATAAGAAAAGGTGTATATATATATTATGAAGAGATGAAGGAAAGATGAGAAAAAGAATGAAGAGATGATTGGATGGATGAATAATTTTCAACAATTACTTTGAATACAAATATAATAATGGCCTAAAAAATTAAGTGAAGAAGAAAATTTCAATTTATAAATATTTTATTTTTGTTATTTTCTTTATTTATTATTAAAAAATTTTTGTTCTTTTTATAGAAATGCATTTTCTTTGTTTATTATATAAATTTTTAAATTTTAATTCATTAAAATTCTTCATAAAAGGATGAATTTCGGGGAGAAAAAAAAATATTAATTACTAAAAAATGTTAAATGAAATGATTATTATATAAATGTATGCATATACACACACACACGCACACATACGCACACACACACACACACACCCATTTCAAACAAATGTTTATTTGCATAGAATACGTGCACAGATACACGTATTCTGTGCAAATACATGTACACATCTATTCTATGCAAATACACGTACACATGTTTTCTATGCAAATTTACGCACACATGCACATATTCTATTCAAATACACGCACACATGTATTTTACGCAAATGCACGCACACATACACATTCTATGCAAATAAACGCACACGTACACTTATTCCATGCAAATATACACATACATATACACACAAACACACACCTGATATACATATAATTAACTTCAA